ATTCATTTTTGTAGGACTATTTACAATGATTTCTTTCTTTAACTCTATCATGGTTCTCACTGTTTTCCTCTTATCTTTTCTCATGGTATCACTAACTTTGTTTGGAATCATGGTTACAACATTTTACACAAATAAGGTGTAAAAAAAAGCACAGTGGTGAATGTTTTAATCCACTAACACAAGTACCATATGTTGTCTAGGTGAGAGCTGTGCTAGACTAAAACATCACCCCTTTGTGTCCATAGCAAGCTGTGACCCGTGACTTACTCTTGGCCAGTATAGGTTTTTTCATGTCGGATTTTCAGTTTGACTGTCAAGCAAAGTTACAAACACTAAGCAACAATTTTTTTAAACTTTGCTCTTTGAGTAGTGGAAGGTTCAAGCTTGGAGCCATTTGATAACTGAGGTATCACTATATTTAACATAAATTATTTCATAGATAAATGCCTGAATTAAAAGACAAAGAATGTTTTAGACATCTAGACAAGAAGAAATTAGATCACCTATAAAAGATAAATCAGTCAGGCATCAGATTTCACAATATTCATTATAGAAGACAATGGTATGGTGTCTACAAAGTTTTGAGAACAGAAAAAAATGACCTGTGAACATTTGTTGGGAAAAAAAATTGTTTAATAACCAAAGCCAGCCTATTAAGAGATTACTCAAAATAAGAACTTTAACCTATAGAAGGTACAACAAAAGGATTCTTGGTAGCGTCTGGATCCATTTATATGTAGAAATAAATAATTATCACAATTTTGGTGTCAAAATATAATGTGAGTACTATAAATCCAAACAGTGTAAGAATAGTAATCCAGGCTTGGGAAGTGAGCAAAGATAGGAGTTCTAAGAGATCTCTACTGTTCTCGCCTTTTGAAGTCAGGATGTACCGTCCATAACAAAACACATGTTAAAAAATCTAAATGTTTTTTCATAATTACCTTTACTTAACTGTACAACAGGGGCCCATACATTACTGCCTGAGGGTTGACTTCCTATTTTTGTAAATACAGTTTCATTGGAACACAGCGCCTCAGTGCATTGAGCCTACTAAACAAAATACCATGAGCTGGCTGGCTCAGAACAAGAGACCCAGAAGTCCAGAATCAAAGCTCTTAGATCTGTGTCTAGTGAGGGTCTGCTTTCTGGTTTATGGATGGTACCTCCTCACGGTGTCCTCACATGGTGGAAAGGACAAAGGAGCTTTCTGGTTCTTGTTTATAATGGCACTAAGCCCTCATGGCCTAATCACCTCTCGAATGCCCCCCCTCCTAATATCATCTCACTGGAGAGCAAGTTTCAACCTATGAATTCGGGGAGCACAGCCTTTCAGACTGTAGCACGTGGCTTCATGCGTTTGTTTAACTGTGTCCCGTGCCACTTTGCAGCTGTGACAGCAGGACCTCACAGACCCACATGCCTGAAATATCTACTATCTGGTCCTTCAAGGACAAATTTACCAGCCCGTGCAGAGAAATAATTTTCAGTTCAGAGGAACCTTGTAGTAAAGAAATATTTATTCAAGGTTTAATAATTTGTTGAGTTTAATTCAGTCCTTTTTTGCTCCTCCTAAATTCATGTCAAATTAAATTTAATAATGTAATATAAACCCTATTTTTACACACTGATGTATCAATCATTTGAAAGCTATCAAGGCTGATGGATCTGCTAATGCTATTTTCATGGTTTCTTAAACTGTCATCTTTGTGTGTCTGCGTTGTTTGGAATCTTTATAATGAGCATATATCATCTGTACCAGGATAATAAAATAGAACGGCTGTTCTATTTAAAAACATTGGGAGCAAATATACCAAGATATTAACAATGGTTAATTCTGGTAGGTGGGACTATGATTGCTGTTTTCTTCTTGACGCTTTTCTATGTTTTTTTTTTTAATTAAGGTATATAAGGTTTAGGCATAAAGTGATAAAGTTCTGAATTATAGTTTTGCAAATAGTAGCGAAGAAGCAGATATGAAGACTGTGGTTCTATTTATAATTCTTTTGTGATCTGGTAGTCGATATTGTATTATTGTGTGACATTTCCTCTCATATACAGACTGTGTGGTTCTCACATAACGTACCGTATGCAGCATGGCATGACAGAGAAGCCGGAACAGATGATACTTGAAATGGTCAGGTAGTGAGTGAGCACGTTTGTAAAGCTGGCTCTTTAACTTGCTTTTCTGTCAATCTACCTTTCCAGTCTCTGCTCAGCTCCCTCCTTTTGATATATACATGTTAGTCTAGCCGCGTACAACTCCTTGCCTCTGGCCAAATCTTCCCGTATCGGAATACTGTTTTACTTCATCACCATCATTCCTTCAACCAATAATTGCGTCCCTATACCTAATGTAAACCAATGCTTCCTTTAAGATAACAATTTCAATATCCTTTGCTGCAGTGCATCTCAAACTCCGCTGCATATCAGAATCACACGGGAGCTTTAAAAAATACTGACGCCCAGGCCTCCGCTCAGCTATTCTGATTTAATGGTGCAGGGTTAGGGCCCAGGCAGCAGTATCTTTTTTAAAAACTCCCTTAGTGATCCTAATATACAGTCAGGGTTGAGAGTCACTGCAAACCTTGTGCAGTAGCAGCAGGCAGAGTTAATTACTCCCTCTTCTGCACAACCATAGCCCTTAGCTTTTCCACCGCTCATGAAATTTAATGCTCATTGTATTAAAGTTAGTGTTACATAGTAAGTGCTCAGTAAATACTGCGGGTTGTGGCAATTCCTTCTCCCTCTAACCAGGTGTGTGCAGGAATGGTTATCGTTCCAAGGAAAGGGAGAGCAGAGTGGGTAGTGCTTCGTAGTTGGGGATGTAGTCTGAGGGGTTTATTTGATTTCTGTAAACCATAATCCTCCCCTGTGTGCCCTACATACCCCTCACTGCCTTTTCACCATCATTCTTGGGTCTGGCTTTCACACTGTTTTGACTGAAGCAGTTTAAAGAATTACAACATCATTACGAACGTGCTGACTGCCTGGCAGAATCTGAACATCACCTGCTCTCCGTCCTCTCCTTTGTGTCGTTCTTTACATTACGCTTTAGGCTGGACCCTGCTGCTTTAGCTTTCAAGAGTCGCCAGGTGTTCTTTATCAAAAGCTTTCAGAAAATCCAGATAAATTATGCTCCATGCCCCCCAAACTGCCAACCCTATGTTTTATACCTTCATCGAGTGTGACAGTTTTATTTCAGTGGAATCTTTCTCTCTCCCTTCCATTTGCCTTTGTCTCACTGATCCGGGTATCAGGCAGGCAGTGGAGGTCCTGCCCTTCTTGATTCTGTGTGTCTGCAGCAAAGTAAATGCCACCTCTGAGTGCAGCGCTTGGGGTGATTACCTCAGCCTCCCCACGAGGAGGAACTCTTGGAAGCTACTTGTACCTGGAAAGGAGGTGGGGAGAGGAGAACCGAGGATGACGAAAAGCCACCAAGGTGAATCAGCAAGACTGGATCCCATAATGACCACAGTGCATGAGTTCCCACTATGGCCTCCCCTTGGTCTTCCCCTTCCCCATCCAGTTCACCTGGAAGGACTTTCTTTCTACACTTTCCATGCCCAGAAGACCGAACTTTCTGTCTACACTTTCCTTTTAAAATACCATTTCTTTTTTGTCTTTTTTTTTTCTTTTTTCTTTTTTTTGTCTTTTTGAGACAGGGTCTCGCTATGCAGTTCAGGCTGACCTTGAGCTCACTTTGTAGCCCAGGCTGGTCTCGAACTTGCAACGATCCTCCTGCCTCAGCCTCCCGAGTGCTGGGATTACAGGTGTGCGCCACCACACCAAGCTTAAAACACCATTTCTAATAGACTGGGGGTGTAGCTCAGGCATACACAAGACCCCAAGTTCAATCCTCAATACATATATTGGCAGCTTCATTGTTTCCCATTGGTACCACATTCTGACAGTGGGGGACCTGACATTTTATGCACATAAGCATTTGTCAGTCAACAAATTCTTAATTAGTAAGGTGATTTTCTCCCTCTCAGACTTAAGGAAATTTCTCTTTTCTTTTTCTTTAAGGGCCCTGGCCCTTAATAAGATGTGGTATAACTGAGTCTGATAGCAAATTTCATCAGTGTCAAATTAAGTTAATTTTTAAACTGAAAAATCTGTGTACATCTAGTATATTGTGTAATCCGAAGCACATTTACTGACCTTTCTGTCTTGAGTTCTTTAGTAAACAGCAAGCCATTACCTAGTTCCCTTGGAAGTTATGCAAATTAATTAATGTTTGGAAAATGACTTGAAAATTTAAATCAGTCTATAAATACCAGACAGTTGCATTTCCCCTGCTGAGAGGCCCAGGTAATTCATAACCTCGTATAATAAAGGTAAAAATAGTGTACTTGGGCTATACAATTACATGTGATTTATATGAAATGCATATAATCTTTAAAATTTAGAAGCCATTTAATAGAAACAATTCATATTTCATAACTGTAATAAAAGCCTTTTATGACTTTAGGAAAAGTAATTATCTACTGTAACTGATTTAGACACTGTCTTTATTTCTGTGAGCTGCATAAGAACCTACTCAGTGTTTGTGTTTAACCTGTTAATATTGACTGATATGTTCTGAGTCTCCCATTTTATTTTTTTAACCTCAAAACTCAAATATTTATTTCCTGGGAAATTTGTCTGTACAAAACTTTGCTGTATTCAAAACCTCCTATGTTAAGATTTAGCACTTTTATATTGAAGTCATTAAAATTGAACAAACTCTTAATAGTTCCTTTATTAACTACTGTCCTGACTTTGCATAGTGGAAATCACCACATGTTAATTGATTTAATTAACTATTTTAAATTACACAAAATCCTGACAGAAGACAATAGCACAGGGTACTCTGGGCAATAAAGCTGGAGCCGATATTGTTACTTTATTAAAACTTAATGAAACGATTCATAATCTTATTTATTGTTTGCAAGAAGAAAACTGTGTTCATTGTAAAGGCAAAAATGTCTGCTGAAAGAATTTTCATTATCATCTAGGTGAGCGTTCAGAAGTTAATAAAAGGGTCCACTATATCCAACCTCACAGTTCTGCCGTCTTCTTATTGCACGGATCCCTACTTTGTCCCCGTACCAGTCTTACAGAAGGATGCCAGTAAAGGTCAGTGACACGGTGGCCGTGTTATACATTTAGGGATAGAAGGGGAAAAGCAATCAGGGGCCTGCGTCTGAACTCTGCTGAGACACAATTCTCAAGTCAGCCTCCCACAAGGCCGATCCTCACTCTGCGTTTCCTCCTTATAAATCAGAAGCTCGGATTAGATGGTCACTGACTTCCCTCCCACCTCTAAAACCCCTCATTTTATGGATTTCATATTAATTCAGATGTTAGTGTTATAATGTCAAACAGTCATTACGTTTATGTGGTATTGTTAGACATTATCAAGTTTCTGAAGCTATTCCGGGTAGTACTTTAGAAATCTTTTCCAGTATGCCACCTACACAGAAATATGAAGCCAGAATTCATGTGACTAGCACTTAAACTCTGTTTGTATATATTCTTGTCCTGTGATGCCAGTAGATTTCTAACAGAAAAGACTCTATTATCTTCACTTCCTATCCCTAGTGCCTAGAACCACACCCAGCATCTTGTAGACACTAAATGTCTGATGAGTGAGCGAGTAAACAGATGAAAGAGTAAGTGAATGAATGGCTAGAGGCTGAAATCATAGTGTAGCCCTCTCTGCTTTTTCCTACTATTTAAGTGGCCAAATGTTCAATGATGCCTAAGCGGATCTTCTTTCCTAGCTTAAGCACAGCTGAGTAAGATCTCTTCAGTATCTGTCTCCCTGTCTAGCTGTTGTCCGAGGTACTTCGAGGACCCAGGGTTGGTTCCCAAGGGGCTCTGGTTCCTAGAGATTCAAAGTTTTTCTTCTAGCTATCACATCTGCTATCAGCTGACCTCCATCTGCTGGGGGTGGAAATCTCGGGAGTCTCTGAATTTATTAAACTTCCCACAACTCTATTTCTTTCCTAGGGATGAGCCATTACTCAGAAGTCTTTGTGATGCATACTTTTTAGTTAGCTTAGGTAATATTTACTCCCTGGGAATAGCGAGCAACACCAGCAGAGTTTCTGTTTCTTGCTTCAGTATCCTGTCATATTCTTCCCCGATCAGACGAGGATCAGTAAAACAGTGAAGGAATCAATCATTCCTTGCTTTAAACTGCTATGAAACAAAAGTTAATCTACAAGCATGGAAACTCGGTCAAGAAAAAGTAACATTTTTTATCCCTAACTTATTTGCCAGAGAACACATGCCCACCATAATATTTGTAATTAATCCAGCAATTAATCAGCATATATTTATGGCATACTTGCGGTATGCCCGGTACTATGCAAGGTAACGTGAGCTGCAGGAAAGCGCAAGCTACAGTAATCTACACACCGTGTCTAGGTTTTTCAGGTGTTCTCGATGCCCTTGAGTGTCTTTTAAATCTTGCCCCAGTTCCACACAAGTCCAGCATGAAAAGAGATGAATTACATCCACAAGACAAAATCGTTTGGGAAAATGCACACTAAACGTCACTACTTTTTCCGCAGTTATCTGGCTACATCCAAAAGAGAAAGCTCCACCCTTACCCAGTGGTTAAGAATACAAGGTTCACGGTACAGCCCAACTTTTCACTTCAGGCTGGGTGTGGTCTCAGGCGAGAGGTCACAGTCTGACCTCTGAGTAAACTCTGAACTCTGAGTGAGGCACTCCTGACACAGCCCTCATGTCACCCCCTCTCTCCGTGCTCCTGCTGCTGGGGCCTTCTCTCTGCCCCTTACCATGCCAGTCACATCTTATATAAGGCCTTCTAGACTGTCACATTGTACAATGATGTGTTTACTTATGAACTTACTTAATGTCTTCTCTACCACTAGAAGTCATGCAGTCTCTCACTTTATTGCCTTGTCCCCAAGCCCCCAGAGTAGTTAGTTCCTGACACATAATAGGCGTCTAAGAAATGCTGGCTGAATGAATGCCAGGATGAATGAGCTTCTCATTCCTAATCCACTTAACCGGAAGGTAAGGGTGTTATGAGGACTTCAGAAAACGGTAGTGTTTAAAGATAATCGTTTTGACTTTTTTTAATTTTAAAGAGAATGAATAAACAATAGCAAAATAACATCAGAGACAAAAACAAAACAGCACAAAGATAATTTTTAAAGAACATGTAAAATCATAACTTTCATATAAGAATAAAAGGAATACATATTAAAGATTTTAACTCATCAATTCAAGGAGAAAAATCTCTAAGATGTTGCAGTTGGTTCAAGAGAGATCCAAAGAATAGACACATTTATAGATTAAGAATATTAAAATACGATTCCAGATAGATGCAAAGTTGGCTTTTCTCTTTCATTAATCCGTTTATGAAAGAGATTTTATTTTCTTGTCTATAGATAATTATTTGTAGTATTATCCACTTTTACAAATTAATCTTGACATCTGCAGAGTTGTGAAACATCCTAGTCAAATGCTAGGTTCAGATAATCCCTGAACACTCCAGCATTCCACTGCAAGGTATCCAGGAATTGCCTTTGATTATTCCAAACTGTTTTTTAAAAACCTGCTTACCATCTCTTTGCTCCAAAGTGACCTTAAACAAAATTATTCATGAAATACAGCTGGTATCATTGTCCTGATTATTTATATTGATGCAGCAAAAATGATGATTTACCATATAGGCTACCTTAAGCTTATTGTCCTGTAAGCTTTCATAAGGAATCTCAGACTAAACTTTAAAAATCATCTATTACTTGAAATCCTAAGGCCAAAAAATTAAGCCCCAAAACCTTTGTTCTCCAGAATTAAGCTGCAGGATCTATAAACTGTGGCATTTTCCTTTATTTAGAGGTCCTCCAAATAGTCTAAGGCTCTTGGGCCTGAAGGATGTGCCCTTCCCTACCATCTGTAAGTATAACAATCTGGGCTAGTCTTTCTGGGAAGGCTTTGCAAACACTAGCTCTGGAAAGTCAACCGTAGTCCTGTAAAAGGAACTTGTCATACCTGAATAAATAAGCATCATCCTTAAATATGAAACATGAAATTTCAGGCAAGGCCTTGGTTCTATAAGTACCTTTTTCAGTTATATCTTAGTAAAAGGAAAAGAGGTTAGTATTGAAATCATGCAAATTACTATGTTTCCATAAAATGTAAGGAGTCTCAATGACAGCTTCTGAGTTCAGGATGTGTGGAAGCACATATAAAGCATCAGAAGTTCAATTTTCTTATTTATGAGAATTTTAGAAAAGTCCAGTTTATATAAGCACTTACTTATCTCTATAAGCCAGCTGGACCAGAGCCCCTTTTAGAAGAGGCCTTACTATCTGATTTATTAATGCCATCTGGAGGCAGGAGAACATTCCTCACACTCACAACAGGAGATAACGGGCTTTCTGAATTCCTGGTACACAGACATACAGTTACAGGGAGTGTGCATACCCTCAACCCTGCAATTCCAGCCACAGAAGAAAAATAAACACAGAAACAAAAACTTCCCAGTACAGATATCAGCACTGGCTTTCTTCCGGGTGGGCATGAAATTCCTAATTGATTTGAACTCAAAATAGACAAAGACTAACGAACTGTGTTCTGTATTATCTTTCACCCAGCAGGAAATAGATCTCTATAAGACTTTAATCCATTTACGGAGATTACCAAATTCCCAATCATTGCAGCTACCATCAGGAAATAACTTGTCATTCATAAGTGAATTAAAAAGAAAAGCAAATTAATAAGTAGAATTACAAATTAAACAAACAAAAAGAAACAAGATTGAACAAAATGCTATTGCCACCTTAAATTCACCTGTGGGAGCCAAGGAAAAACCTCCCTGGGCTTGATTGGCTGTGGTGTTCACCCTTTCTGATGATCTCCGGTGACTCTTGATCATCTTGATGGGTTCTCCAAAACCGCTATAGGATGATTTTTTTTTAAATCATAGTCATGACTCTTATGCAAATATAAAATGGGCACATCAAAGGCTATCTTTAGCTAACTAATTAAATGAGGAAACTAGTAAGATGTTACAGTCAATTCTAAGAAGAACCCAAACAAGACATATTTACAAATCAAAAATACTGAAATAAATTTGCAGAAAGATGAAAAGCTGGGATTTCATGGGAAGAACTGTTCTCCATGTGATAGAATTTATTTGCATGTATATAGGCAAGAATTATTTACATTGCTATCATATTTCTACACACTAACCTTAATCTCTACAAATTATAAAATAATAAAAATAGGTTCAGAGCCCTGTAGAGGCAGATAACTTCAAAGTTTCCAGTGTCTGGATTTTTAAAAAATCTCTCTTATTTATTCCCAAGTGTTAACTTTTTCCTTCCAATGGTGAATGCATGTGCAAAAATTGAGTTGCTGCAATCAGTACAAAAGCGAGGGTGGAAATCATGCTCATATTCTTTAGAATTCTCAGAGAATGAAACTGACTCTTGAAAATATCCTGAATTATAAGAAACTCTGTTTCTCGCACCTGCAAAACAAGCATAATTCTTGTGCAGAGGTCTGATATTTATCAGTGAAAAGCATTTGTGAGAATAGAGAATTAATCTCACTATCTTAAAGTCATCGTTCAGTCAGTTCTTGTGTTATAAACATTAAACATTTTGAAGTGCTAACTTCAAAAAGGTTTAAAGAGTTATACCCTGCATCAGTAGTTCTTATGTTTTAAGAGATCCTGAGTGCTTATCTGGCATGTATGTTCCTGAGCCCCAATTCTGCTGGTTCTCAAACTTCAGTGCACCTAAGTATTACTTGGAGGTTTCAGTGATGCAGAGTCCTAGACCATGACCTCAGACGTTTGGACGGGTCTGGAGCAGGGCCCAGGAATCTCCATGTTCCATAAGAAAACATTCCTACAAATGATTCCACTGAAGATTTCTCTTTGGAATCATTGTTTCACAAGAGAAGTCTTCTTCAGCTGTAACCCTTCCGTGACAATACTTCTGAAGTCCCGTAACACTATAATAACTAGTTTAAAAGCAATATAATAGAGACCTTAAAATAAATGGAATAGTTATCAGCTTCTCTTAGAATATGTGCTAATTTCCTCAACAGAGCAAAGTGAGGTACAAACTTTGCCAAGAATTTGTTGAGATCCAGAGTTGCTTACTTTTCTTCCTGTTATGTAAGAAAGCAACCAGAAATTGAAGTCTTACCACAAGTTTGTTATAAACAGTCCTCAAGTTTCTGGGTTTCTGGCTTTAATACAATAGTTCACCTTCCTGAAAAGTTCTGCCCCCAATGGCAGACTTTGTTCAATTATTCATTGATTTATTTATTTGTTTACTTGTTTAACAAAGTCTCTTGTCCCTGAAAAGGCTTGACTTCAGCCTTGGTGATATAGCCTGAGTGCTAAGAATTGTACTTTAGTTGTATTAATACCAACCATGTTGCTCAGTGTACTAAAATAACCTATTGTGTATTCATATCTTCAGGGGATACGATAAATGTCCAGTGATCACTCCTTTTATAAAGTATGACCGATTATAACAACAGGGCATGGTTTGAAGCACACAGATTTTCTTTCTTCCAGAACAAAGGATCACCTTGGTCATTAAGAATGTGTGCCTGATTTCTCTGAATTTTAAAAAGAGTAACATTACCAATGATTGAAAATGTCATAAAAACTAAGAAGTTTTAGTTTGCCTTGAAATTATATTTCTACCTTAAAATGAAATTACCTTAGTGCAATTTTATTTCATATTACTGCTATTGGAAATGACATTTTTCCCTGGGTTAGACTATTAAGCTTAAATGAACGTGTACTGTAGCTGGCTTTTCATGCAAAAAATTAAGGCACTAGATGCACCCTTACAAATAAGATGATGGATGGAGCAAGTTAGACTTGTCAGATTTATAGAGCTCAGACTTTGTAATACTGCTTGAGTTAAACTCATACGCTCTTAACCTTCCTTTTTAGGGATTTTAAGTATGATAGAACGGGGATTGATTCCCCCAACAGCAAGGATTACCTTTCGGAATCCACCCATTGCACCCAGAGCAGCTCCTCTGCACAGCTTTGATGAAGCACACAAGATTCCAATTGCAAGTAAGACAGTCTTGCTGCATGCTTAGTTGGAGGCATACAAAAACTGTCTCTCCCCCTGCTTTTCAGTAGCCAACTTTTATCCTTGACAGTAGGGTGAGATAAAAGTCCTAAACATCCTGAGTTTTACTTCAATGAATAAAGTAACTTTAGCCATCTTTGTAAAGCACATATGGAGGCTGCATTCTCTGTGTGTTTTCTTGGTTTGTATTTTCAAGGTACATGCACTTTGGCTGGGGAAATAAGACAGATATAATAAAGATATATAGATAAAAATTCAAAGTAGATTAGAATAAAAACCAAGTGGATGTTAACATCTAGTGCTATCATAGGGGCTCAGAGGGACTATTGTTGAGGGGTGAGATCATAGGTGTTAGCTTCCAAGGCGAGGCTGGGTGACATCGGGTGTTATAGAAAAGCACCTTCCTGGGATTCTATTAACTAGTTGTAGGGTCTCAGGCCAGCCATTTACTTCATCTGGACCTTGGCTTTTCTAAAATTAATTAATCTGTTCAGTAAATATTTGTTGAATTCTTGCTTATCCAAGTTAGCATTTAGATACTGGACATGCAAAAGAGGGTAAGTCAGACAGCGTTTCTGTTCTTATGATGCTTTTGTTATAGTGGGAGACCTGAACCATAAGCAGGTAAGTACATGAGAATTTATGCTAATGATAGGGACTAGAAAAAAACAATAAGGGTTACAGAGTGAAAGGAATGGGGGCCAAGAACAGTGAGGAGATGTCTCTCAGAAGACATATAAGGCTTGCACTAAGATCTAAATGGTAAGGAAGAGTGAGTCACTTAAGCACCTAGGGAAGAACATTCCAGACACAGACTAGGACAGGGACAAAGGCCCTGCAGAAGTGAGCGAGAAGCCCAGGTCACGTGCAAGGGACCAAGGGGAGGCGATCAGGCTGGAGAAGCCAAGAGGGATCATATGATGTACAAGCGGTGATCAGTGAACGTTTAAATTTTAAAAATTTATTACAGTGGAAAACCCCACACACATTGACCTTAATTCTCCACAGAAGATCCTCCTCACTTTGAAAATACTTATCTCATCATCCTTGGCACTTTAGCTTTAGCTCACAGTTCCAGAGGTGTCAGTCCATGTTCAGCTGCCTTCAAGGCAGAAAACATCATGATATCAGGGAGAGGCCAAGAAAACTGCTCAATTCATGATGTCTGGGAAGCAGAGTGCACAGGAGGAGCAGCAGAGAGGAAAAGGACAAGAACAGATAAAGCCCCCAAGGTCACACCCCCCTGACCTATACGGACATGCCCAGAAGCATGCTTTACTAACCTCTCGGCATCTTCAAGCCCATCAAATAAGTCAGGATTAAATGTCATACCAGGGATAGGGTTAGAGTTGGCGTTAGGACTAGGGGCATATTTATACTAAATATTTAGTATGAGGAGTTATGCTTAGTCTAACCCATGCATGAAAATTCTGATCTTCTTTGCTGGATATTTGAATATATTTAATATCTGAGATATACTAAAATTATTAATTGTTTATCTGAAATTAAAATTTAACTGTGTGCCTTTTATTGTTTGCTAAACCTGACAACCCTGTGCACTGGACATATTACCACCCTGAAAAAATTCTAAAATTTGTAGAGAAGACAGAGGCGTGGTTACTTGGCAGTCAAGCTATTAATAGCTACTACAGAAGCACACAAGTTTGTCAAGAAAGACATGAGTTTACTCCCTCTGAAAAATCACCTTGTGGTCAATTTTATCATAAACATTTTTCCAGAAGGGAAATTGAGTAGCAAAATAGATTCAGCATACAGTTTTGTTAAAGATGAAGACATAGTCCTCAAATGTGTAGATCCCATAAAACCAAGACTACATGAAGCTATAATTTAGTGATAGTATTTCTGAGGTACCTAAGACAATTTTTAGAGACACCATTAATTATGGATTGTCTGGATGGAATTACAAATCTCTGTGGCCTTCATCCTACCAAATTCTATTAAAATTTTACTAAAATCTTTAAAAGTTGAACGTCTGTCAAGTGCTATTTTGTTTCAATATGAGAATCGAGCCATAAAGCCTACTTGTCTGGGGGAACCTGGAAGTTAAACAAAAAGTGTCTGAGTCTGCAGATTTTAAGAATAATAGGCTTTACCAGTGAGTCTGTGGCAGCCTTGGCTCGGGGTGTGGACTTACTCTACCAAAGTGGGCAAAAGGAAGGAGAGTTCGTTAGTCAAGGCACACATGTGTAGGGCTAAACTGTCCCCTGCCCAGGGACTCCATGATGCAGGGAGTCATGCTAGAAGCTAGGAGAACCAGAGGAGGGTAAGCCTGGGTCAGACGCAACAAACAAATCCCTTGTATGGAGGCGCATTGCAGTGCTCTGCAGTGCTTGCTACTTTTGTCAAAGATGGCTGAAAATACTCCTTGTAGCCTACTAGAGGTAAGGAACATTTTGTAGTGAGATTCTAAATTATATATTGATCTCCTTTTCCAGCATGCTGTTTTGATCAATATCTGTCAATTCATTCAAAATCTGTCAATTCTTTCAAAGACAGTCATCACAGAACTGACAGGAAAAGTGGTTGAATTGAAGGAACTGAGATAAAAGAAGCCTCACTTCTTTTACTCGGTTAGCCATTTAAATAAAGTATTTGTTCCCTTTCTTAGAGGAAAAAGAGTGTAAGGATTTTTCTCCCCTGAGAATGTCAGGTGTGGGCCGTTTGTAAAGAGCCGCTGAGTTTGCTGGCAGGCAAAAGGAGAGATGGATGGAGAGGCTTACCTAGCATGAAGGTCTGGCCCCCTAGAGGCTCAATATGTTCACCAAAATATGTTGCTCATAGATTTAATTAATTTCAGAAATAATTTTTATGGGGCTATTCCCTTGTATCACTTCCTGAAGTCATTTAAATTTTTGAGAGTCACCTTTTTTGATAGCCACGCAATAGGAGAGCCCATCCTAGGCAACTATATTAATTATCTTGTATATGAACTTGGGAATCTGGCTACTGAAAGAAATCTTACAGTGAAATATTATGTGAGACAAAGGTTTTTCTCTAATTTGCCTGCTTTTACCAATTGCTTTTCATCTAGTTTGCTTAAGGTGGGCCCACCTGGTGTGCCCATGGAATTTGCCCTCCCTGCTACCGGCTTTCCTTCTGAAGTCAGTGTTCACAGATAGCTCACTAGATGGATAGCGAGGGGATGGCGGGTGCAGGGCCGTCTGACTTTCCAGATGCAAACCCAATAGTGTTCACCCCGTGCCTCAGCGTCTCCTTCTGGAAGAGGTAATGCTGCCTTTCCTCTCTCCACAGCACCTATTACTATACCTCAAAAACCACCACTGGTTCCAGTTCACGAGGTGATGTCTCAGCAGCAAAAATCAAAGGTACTCCTACTCCCACCTACAGCAAGAATGTCGTTCTTATTTACAACATCATCTGTGAGATTTTTGGTAATATCCACACTTGTACCTATTACACAGATGAAAGAGCTATTTCAACTTCTTTTTGTAGTGCTAGGATCTAATCTAGGGCCTTGTGCGTGTTAGGCAAGTGCTCTACCATCGAGCTACATCCCCAGTCCCTGACTTTAAGGGAGCGGGGGCGGTTACCGTACAAGTCAGGGCTATCACGACACTATCAGCGGAGTCTAAAGCATTCAGTCTTGTTGCATTATTGTGAGATAAACTAAGTGACTGGGTCAGCGTACATTGCTAGCTGGTCAGGAGTCTGGGATACACCAGCTCTTGCTATGAGGTGTCACTGTTTAGTATCTCCTTTGTGTTCAAGCACGGGCTAAAGTGGCAAGGCCTCCAGTTTTGCACAGAAAACCTTAACGAGGAAGAGGAAGTAGTTCTTCGTTCTTTTATATTAGTACAGCACGGTACCATGTAACTCACCCTTAGAAAGACGTCCCCCATTAAAAGGCGCTGGAGTTTTATAGCTTGCTTTTTATGCTTATGGGTTACAGACAGACTTGCAATAATTGAAACTTTTCACTAGAAAGGAGACAGCTGGCAGTGCTGCTTCTGGCTTACCCACGTGGTTGCGCTTTCAGCGGCTGTCATAATAAAAGAAAGAGAAATTGCAGAGTGGCCCCTACGAAATTAATCCTGCTGTGTCTCCAGCATGGACTGCTACAGTACCTGTTCTCACCCTTGCTCTTTCAACGCCCAGCTCTTCCTAAGAGCTTTCAGCTGTTTTCGGCTCTGGTGAGCTGGACCCCCCTAACAGCTTTCCAGGCTGTTTATGTAGCAGCATGTCATGTGACACCCCAGTTGCCATGGCAAATATTTGTGTTTCATGAAAAATGTGGGTAAAAAAAAAAAAATCAATGTAAATGGCCAAATCCCAAGCCCGACAGGCCTTCAGGCGAGTGTTTGGCCGGCACCATGGTTGTTTGAAATTCAGCTGTTTAACAGGCTGTGAGGAGGCCACAGGCTAATGTGCATAATGGGAGCAGGCGGAGGCACCTGTTTCCGTTCTCACCCCGTTCAAGCACTCAGATCGCACAGTTTTACAGAGAAAAATCTACAGGTAATGCAAGCAGTCTGACTGAGTTTTAGCCAGTAAGCATTTTACCTAAAAAACGAATACAAACACTTTTTTAAAAAGGACCGTATTTCCTGAATGCTAATCAGCCCTGACTTTAATCTCCTCCGCTGACCTCACAAAGCTTTCTCCTCCTGTTAGGAGCAGTAATAGTTAAAGACCTCTCCCCCGACCCCCCGTTGGTACAGCACTTCCGAACTGTCTCTTCAGTGGCAAGTGTAATTATTCATACACTTTGTGGGAGGTGCGCTAGGCATGGGATTGGAAGGTACACCGTGCCCAGCCTCACGACGGAGGCAGCACACAGCCTGGACCAGGCTCCGGCACCAGGCACCGCGCTACCACACAGAGAACCCTGTCCTGTAAACACTTCTCCGGGGGTTCCCTACAAGTGCAACTTGGCATCTGAGTATAGTTGTTTTGTGCATATTTACTTTGTCAGACCCTTGCCTCAGTGCAAACAGAGCTTGGAAGGCAGAGCCTCCTTGTCTGAGGGTGGGAAAGGTCTAATTATTGGCTCTGCGCCTCCCTGCAAAGAGGGAACAGGCTGGCCCAGCGGGGGAAGCGGGGCACGGGGGAGAGGGACTCTGAGTCTTGTATTTGTTTTGTAAAATTGCCCATGAGAGTCACTGTGATTTAAACTCTGTCTCATTCTTCATTGTAGGGCAGAGGCATAAGGTCAAGAGGACGTTACGATGCGAAGGTCTGTAATTTGTGTGACTAGTTGAAATTTGGGGTCTGTCACCTGATGTCCCTTCCTTTTGCTGCAGGGCAAAAGTATGGGAGGCTGCTTGACAGCTAGACATGGCAACCAAAGTTAAGCTTCCTTTATAAAAGAAATTAGACCATGTTTTCAGAAGAAGTCACGGTTTGCTTAAAGTGAAAAGCCTTTTTTTTTTTTTGCTTTCTGTTTGGACTGAATCACTTTGCAGTCTTCAGTCCAAATCCAAAGAGGCAGTTGAGTGTCCTCAGAATTTGACTGAATTACATCACCCTCAATCAGAGATTTTCATCATTTCAAAGTATATGGAAAAGGAAGTAAGGTGTTAAAAAAATTCAGTTGTCCCCCAGTATGTGCGGACATATGCTTACATGTGTACGTGTACACAGATGTGTGTGCATGCACACACACGCTGCATGTACGATGTGGTAGGTGAGGGCATGGGATTCAGAGTTAAGTTGACCACAACAACCAGTGTAACAAAAAAATGGGAAAAAAATGCAATAGCTCCCACAATATGGCAAATACATGCAGGCAAGAATATTCCCCGGGGCCATAAGTGAAATAAACCAAACCCGCACGTGTAAACATCATATTGTCTCTCTAGTGTAAGAAACTCAAAGAGTAAATAAGATCCAAAAAGTACAATAGATAGTGTGAAAAGGAAAGAACAACTGAGATGGGAGAAAGGAGAAAAGAAAGAAGGGGAAAAAAAGATATATATATATATATACACACACAAGATAGCTAAGATAATTATACTATTAATTTCTATTAGTTCATTGAAAGGGACAGTTAGTGCTTATACTGTTTGATCAGTTTTGCAGGCCTAGATCTTTAATCTGAGCAACTACTTTGACGATAACAGTACACAGTATAATAACCGTTGTGAATTTCCTATCATCTTGTTTTGAAATTCTGTATCATTTTTATTGTTTTACCCCCTCTTTAAAATTAAAAAAAAAAAGAATACTCCACGGGGTCATGCGTGCATAATAAAAAACCTGAATCTGAAACATGAATGTGGTAGATTCTCTGCACAGTAGTAACTAGGTTTGGCAAATCACTTAAATTCCCTTTCTCTCACCTTCCTCTGGCAGATGGGGGTGGGGCTTCCCTTCTCATAGGGTTGCTGCAAGGACCGGAGGAGTTCGTGTGTGTGAAAGTGCTTTGGAAGTAGAAAGCACTTTTATCATAATTCATTGCACCCTCACACTTTTTTTCTTTTTTCCAGTCTTGGGGGTTGAACCCACGGCCTTTGCACTAAGCTGCATCCCCAACCCTGTATTTTTCACTTTGTTCGGGTGGCTTTGAACATTGGCTCACTTTTAAGACCATCTTCTGTGCCAGCAATGCCAACCTTTTTAGACACAAGCGCCCAAACTGCAACCCAAGACCCTCTTGTTTATCGCAAAGCACCAACACTGCGATTAAACCCCAATACTAAGGTTTTAGTTCAGAAAAAACAGTCATGCATTAACACCTTTTGTCTTAAAAACAAATAACAAGCATGCTGTAGATTTCCTGCCACTGTTCTAGGCCTTCTGTTCTCAGTGATCTTATTGTAAGAATTTCAGAGGGAGCGAAGCTACTACTTCTCAAGGAATAAGAGCCCACCTTTCGGTCTCCTTTTACCTCTGCAGAGCTGTGACTACATAGGACCATGTTTACGAGAATTGCAGAGAGTCCTTCTGAACCTAGACAGATTTCTCCTAGACAAACTCATCAGTACAATCAGATCCTTCCCCCAGTTCCCTTGACTTCTTACTGTGAGGAAATGCTGAGCCTGATTCTGCACTTCCAGTGTAGAATGCGTTTTAAGAACACGGCATTCTTTATTCGGAGTATTTCTAACTGCTGAGGCTGATTGAGCATGTCCTTGTGCATGGCATCAAGCACCTGCCATACCCACGGGACCCTCACGGAAGCCGAAGGACTTCTGTGCTGTGACTGCCCCCAGGCCCACCCAGATGGTGAAGAGCTTCAGTGATCCTGCGGATACAGTGAGGCGCTCTCTCCAAAGACCGGGTATGGCCTCTTCCCCATGCGCTCATCCTCCAAATACTACCATTGCTACTACTGTCACTGCCCCTGCTGCTGTAGGCAACTGAATTAGATAGAAATATTATAGACAGTCAGACAGGGCTCGGCCCTCAAAGGAGCCAGTGCAGAAGACACCTTGCAGCTGTGGGAGAGACAGCACCAACAGCTGTGGCCCAGACCTCAAGACGAAAGATAAGACAAATATACCCACACAATTCCCTAAGGAGAAACATCAGGGATTGATATTCTAAGTAGGTCTCTATCACCTTGAGAAAGCCAGGAAGAGTCACTAACCCACCCACTACAGGAAAGGTCCCTATTCTGCATTCATGCCCGCTTACTACGTGACTTGCTTCCCCATTTGATCCCAATATAATCAACTTTACCTGAGCAGTTGTACTTGTAATCTTATTGGCTGACCATAGTTTTGTCCCACCTCATGCCCACCTTGCGATTTCCCACCTTCGACCCACCTCACCTTGTGGTTTTGCTCTATAAAAATCCCTAGGAAAGACAGGGTCCTTGGCAACCCACTGGGACCCCTTGTGTCTCTCTCTTGGACAGAAGCTGTCTTTCCCCTAATAAATATATTCTGCTCTTAACCTGTATTGTTCCTAAAGTTCACTCTTCGATTTTAGAGAACATGAACTCATGCCAGATATCTAGCAAGATGGGGGTTTCTTTCCCCTATATCACTGCTGCTGTTACTACCACCAGCAGTAGGGAGCGTTTACTCCTCGCAGGCTCTGTTCCCAGGTCTGTTCCCAGTGTCCTCACAGCTCTGTGAGGAGGGCCTATTGTCATTCTGTGCCCCCGGGAAGAGCTGAATACAGAGAGGTGAAGTCATCCAACGAGTCAATGGCAGAGCCAGTGTACAAAACTGGACGATGTGACTGCAAGAGCTCCAGAGCATTAGAAATCTTTATGTATCTCAACCATTATTGGTGGAAATTTTTCTGTAATTCATTAGGTCCCTCTTCATCCAGTATAATTTAACATTTCCACTGTCCAGGGTCATGTGTGCCTTTGTTTCCTTCAGTATCACAGGGCAGTTGTCCTCCCTTCCTCCATGTCTGCTTTTGTCACCTCCAACTAACAGTCCTTCCTGTCTTCTAGACTGGTTGACCAAACAACCAAAACTCAAGAAGCTGAGTAAGTTTGAGGCAGTCACGCTCTGCATGAGGATCCAAAGAATAAAATAATAAACCATAGTAGAGTTTATAGTAGGAGTCACTTCAAAAAATTCAAGGAATGTCTGTTTTTAGAAATCTGACTTGAACTTGCTAAAATTGCCCCAGCAGATAAATTTTTTTGTTATCTTAAGGCAAGCATATTAACAGCTATGTTAAAACCCACTTAATTTTAATTAGTGTTTTGATAACTATTTTCATGGGTAAAAGAAGCAAACAATGTATTTGTTGGACAATATGGGTACAGACTATGATCATGAGTATGTCTGATTCTGGGAAGGGGGAAGGAGAAGAATGAGACAATTTGTATTTATGTGCAGATGGTTAAATGATTGATAAGAGAGAGAGATGATAGATAGATAGATAGATAGATAGATGATAGATAGATAGATAGATAGATAGCTAAAACAGGTGTCCATGGTATTTTACATTATTCTCTGTATGTTCAGAACTCTCCCAAATTAAAGAAAGAATAAAAGTAAATCCTGGTTCCTAAGCCATACCTCTGTTGTAAGATTTCCTTTGTTATGGGGAAAATAGGTTTGGGTGATAACATTCTAATCTCATACCTGGGGGTCTTACCTCTCTTAATAATTTTTGCATCGTTACTTGCCTTTTAGTCTTTTCCTACATGTACATATACCCTTGTTAGGCAACTGATTATTTTATGATTATTTTATGGGTGGGTCAGCTGCGCTACTTCAATCAGGTGACAGGTATGATGTAGGACGTATAACTGCCCCGTCTGGCCTCATTTCCTCCTATCTGTACAAGGAGGAGACGGGACCACATAATGTTAGGGCAGGGCGCTTTCATGTTGCTAACAGCCCTCACCCCTCGGGTCCAGGGAAGGGGGCAAGGCCGAAGTTCTGGGGTGTCGGGGGTGGTGTCTAGAGTCCTCACACCCATTGCAGCTATGTTACCTATTTTCCCTCTTTACTGTCAAATTATGTCATGTTTGAACAGTGTTCCAGACCTTAAGATATATACCTTGAATGCCTCGAGGTGATACCTAGCAGCAGTTTTAGCTTTGACATGTCCTATCCAGCAGGGACTAAGCCTACCTCTTCATGAACACAGGATGCCTCTCTGGTGGACATCAAGTTCCCAGCAGAGACTGGTCTCCTTTCTGGTCTTGCCTACAGGGTTACAGAGGGAGCAGGTCTCCTTCTGATGAGAATCGGAGCTCTGCAACCTAGAGATGCAGGAGGAGACTCAAAAACAAACCCAAGGCTATTTTTTTCTCTTTCAAACTTTTTCTCTCATGAAATGACATGTAAAGAAGAGGGGGGACAATTCCAAAAAAACAAAAGAAAACCTTCAGAATTTCTAAAAACCATTTTGCATTTCCTCTAATTCATTAGAAATTTCCACCCTTACCTATGCATTTTTGGCATTAAACTTTCAAAGTGAAACTACTTATTTCTTTTTTTATTTTAAAGAGAATAAAAGAAACAACAATAGCAAAATACCAACAACAGAGACAAAAACAAAACAAAGCAAAAACACTAAGAATACAGGGCTTCAGAACAAAATGATAGATGTAATATAACAATTTGTTTCTTGCAAGAAGTAAAAACTAGGGGCTGGGGATTTAGCTCAGCGGCAAAGCGCCTGCCTGGCAAGCGCAAGGTCGTGAGTTCGGTTCCTGGTACCGGAGAAAAACCAAAAAAAAACAAATAAACATAAGCACTATAATCATAGTACATTGGATTTAGGATTTTGGCTAAATGAGTAGATTATAGCTGC